ATCCTGGATCGCTTCCCAACGTCTCACATTTCTCAGGTGTCCTGGCGGCAGAGGTCGTGAAAACAAAATCTTGTGGGAAACTAAATCTGTGGGAAGAGAAACTCAAGTCTTCAAGCTCCCGCCAACAAAACCAGGAAAGATTCCACTTTGTTTTAGTGACATTTTAAGGGTTTTGAAGGGTATTCGGATGTTTATTAGGAGAACACCGTGAACTCATTCAGATCTAGTTCTCACTCCGGCGGTTCGATCCCGCGTTCCTCTCCCATCGGAGACGAAGGAGGAACGTGAAGCTCACATTCCCACACCTGGTGAAACCAAAGAAGAAGAAGAAGAAAGGCTCCTCTGTGAACGGTTCGTTCAATGACTCAACAACAAAAACAACAAAACAGCTGCCGTAAAAAGAGGACGGAGACTCCGCTCGCCTGAACGCGGGAGGACGGGTTTGACTGGTTTTATTTGGTTCCATTTGGTTTCTCTGCAGTCTGAGACAAACCAGCTGAAGAGGAGGTCAAAGGGCGTTTCTTTAAAATGACCAAAGCAAACCTTTAGGGGCAGTAATGATTATTAAATAACGTCCCCACGTTAATAAATTACAATTATAATCCAAAAATCCAGTGGTTAAGATGCAAAGATCAGCCCCCCCCCCCGTGTCCCGCAGTCCTTAAACCAGGAGATCAGACACGTAATCTCCATTGTCCCGTCCTCGGTGGGCCACAGGGTCCTAACCGTGGCCCACTTCACCATCTGCAGAGTCACAGATCGCCGCCTCCCCCCCCGCGCACTCCCCACCCCCGGTTCCTAGGTTCACGCCGAGGGCCCGATAACCTGGCGAGCGCTCCGGGTCTACGTGGGACCCAACGAATCCCCAAATCCCAGATGAGAAGCTGCTGCTCCAGATAAGCCGGCGTGATCCGGCCCGGTGCGCCGCTTTATTTGCTTTCTGTTTGTTTCTTTTCACCTTTCGACGCCGCCTCGCCGGCTACGACCTGCATGTGTTTCTGATTTCAGCGTGTTATTCTGAATTGAGCGAGTCTTTGATCCACCTCTAACCGAGCCCTTTCAAAATAAAACACCCCTGCTCCAAAAAAAAAAGTTAAGCAAAAACACGCCGCAAACTACAACGGCGAGGCCCTCGTGACGAGGACGAAGGAAAGACGCCATCGAGGTGATAAACGAGGCGTGTCCGTCGCAGGCCGGTGGTTCCAGAGCAAACAAACGAGAGGAGCAATAATAAAAAAAAAATAAACGGAAAGAGATTTAAAGGACACGCGCGGTGAAGGGATTCTAATCAAAGACCGTCAGCGCGTTTCCCCTTCGGACAAAGTGACACCCGCCGCCGAACGGACGATCCTCGACCTTGACCTCGCTGTGGAGGTCAGGACAGGCCTTTTCGGGTCCAGTGCAGCTTTGTGCTTCCTCAATGGAAGAAGCAATGAGTCACACACACACACACACACACAAAAACCTCCCAGCAGCCCGGCCAGCTGGCAGGAAGCCGGCCGGCACAAAGAGACGTGGGGAGGTGCATTTTATTTGCACAAGGCTTTTAATGCGCCTCTTCTCTTCCAGAGGGATCGTCTGACTCGCCCCCCCCGGTGGAGGGTCAGGAGCCGGATTGCCCCTCACAGTCACTTTAGGAGAGTAAATCAGAGGAATATTTGTCTCGTGCAACATGCTTTCCAAAAGAGACGGTGAAAAGGGGGCGGGGCTTTTGGACGACGCTCTGCGTTGGACAGAGAGTTCTGTCCAACGGTTTTTCCCATGAATGAATCAAAATGTATTTCCAGGAGATATTCCCCCCCCCGTAACCGCAAACCGTCGAAACGTCAGCTCGAAAGAGAAACCACGAGGTCACCAGAGAGCTCCGCGGCGACCTTTGGCCTCCTTGTAGCGCGGCGTGCGTCATTTTCACTTCTCGTGTGTTATGACTCCTGGTTTCGCCGTCTCCTTCTCACAACTCGACCGAGGAGGAGAAGCTTCAAGGCCCCGGCGATAAGCACAAGAACAGAAAGTGACCTCCAACCTTCTCACTGAGCTCCTCACGAGGAGGTTTAATCAAAACTCATCTGGTTTAATCCTCAATCAATTGTTAACGCAAAAATGTTGTTTTCAGCCCCTAAACCTTTTTTTCTTTTAATACATAAACTAAAGTCCTCCATCCCCGGAGAGGGAGGCGGAGTCGCCCATGTTTCCACAGGGTTGTTCTCCTTTAAGCTTCTCAGGCTTTGTATATTTAATTATGTAACATCTGATGGGAACAACATGTTTTCACGTTGTATCGGTGCTCCCCTCAAATTCAGCGGACCGTCCCTTTAAAGGCCCGTTTTAAAATGATCCAGCAAATGAAAACGATCCGTAGATCCAGATTCCATTTGTGCGAGTAGATTGTGCTTCAATGAACCTGTTGGACTGAGTGAAGCGCTCATTGAGTGGACCCCCCCCCCGCCGCCGGCCCCCCCCCGGTGAACATGCTCGCTGTGGTGGAACTAACACCACTGCTTCAGAGGGACAGGGTGGAGCGGGAAAACTTAACCAACTCTGCTCTCCCATTGTGGAGAAGCAACAATGGCGCCACTCACTCCGTGCAGGTTTTCAGGGCTCGGGTGTCAGGGGAGGTCCCAGCCCCCCCCCCCGGGTCAGAACCACCCAGTCGGGCTGATGGTAAGAGGTGCGTGTCAGTAGGAGTCTTGCTTTAGAGGATGCTTACTGTGATTGACAGGTCTCTACCAGAGACGCTTGCACCTCTACATCAGGTCACTTCCTGTTCACTGTTGTCACTGTTCAATTCATTCATTCACACACACTGTATAGACTGAATTCATTCATTAAAACTGTATAAACTATGCATTCATTCATTCACACTGTATTCATTCATTCATTCACACTGTATAGACAATGCATTCATTCATTCACACTGTATAGACTATGAATTCATTCATTCACACTGTATTCATTCATTCACACTGTATAGACTATGAATTCATTCATTCACACTGTATTCATTCATTCACACTGTATTCATTCATTCACACTGTATAGACTATGCATTCATTCATTCACACTGCATTCATTCATTCACACTGTATAGACTATGCATTCATCGATTCACACTGTATAGACTGCATTCATTCACACTGTATAGACTATGCATTCATTCACACTGTATAGACTGAATTCATTCATTCACACTGTATAGACTGAATTCATTAATTCACACTGTATAGACTGAATTCATTCATTCACGCTGTATAGACAGAATTCAAGTGTAATGGTGAGAACTGCTCAGTGAAGCAGGTCAGCTGACTGGCTGAATCTCAAAGCGGGAAAGTGGGACACAAAGACGAGAGCGAGAGGGAAGAACAAAGTACAACAAAGCGCCCGAGGCAGCGGCCGGCACAGAAATCACTGGCAGGAATAAAAGACGGATGCGGTGGCGAGGAAGCGTCCCGGAGGACGAGGGTGAACCTGACGCGTGCTCGGTTGAGGAGAGGCGACGGCTCGGACGTCATCAGACCACATCACACGGTTTCTCTGTAAATGTCCTCTTTAAAAGGAGGCCTATGCTAAGCTAACGTGACTCAGACTTTAAACTGCCCCGTTCTTCTATCCTAGGAAAGCTAATGCGCATATTTCCCACAACCTTTCCTGCTTCTAAGCGTTCCGGTTTGCTGGGATGAGAACATCCCCCCCCACAGGTGTTCTCCTCTTTGTTACATTGCTTGGACGTGACGCTCGGATGATTGATGGAAAAAGGCTCTTTCAGCGGGATCCACTGGCTTGAGGTG